TCGATGTTGGGTGGGTTCAGTGGAGCTGGTCGATTCAACAGTTCTTTGAAGTGTTCTACCTACCTGTTTTGTTGCTCTTCAATGTTGGTGATTACCTTGCCTTCCTTGCTTTTCACTGGTCGTTCTGGTTAGTGGCGATTTCCAGATAGTTTCTTTGTCGTGTCATACAATTGTCTCATGTTTCCTTCTCTTGCAGCCTTTTCCACCGTCGTTGCTAAGTCTTCCACATATTTACGTTTGTCGGTTCTGATGCTCCTCTTCACTTGTTTGTTTACTTTTGTGTATTCAGCTTGTGCTTTGGCTTTTTCTGCTCTTGTTCGGCTGGTATTGATCGCAGCCTTCTTGTTCCTCCTTTCTAGAATCTTATCCAGTGTACCAACAGTGATCCATTCCTTGTGGTGATGCTTCTTGTGACCCAGGATCTCATGACATGTTGAAGTGATTGCCTCTTTGATCCCCTTCCAGTTGCTCTCCACAGTAGTTCATTCTCCATTGAGTAGATCATGAAAGGCCTGGAACTTGTTGCTGAGGACTATCTTGAATTTATTGAGTTTGTTAGTATCCTGGAGAAAGGCCGTATTGAACTTTTGTGATACTGTCTGCCCCGTTGTCCAGTGCTTCTTGAGTTTCAATTTCATCTTGGCGACCAGTAAGTGATGATCTGATGCTATATCAGCTCCTCTCTTGGTTCTCACGTCCTCTATAGTCCTCCTGAACGTTTTGTTGATGCAAATATGGTCGATTTGGTTTTGTGTAGAGTGATCCGGTGAAGTCCATGTGGTTTTGTGTATGCGTTTATGTGGGAATATGGTGCCGCCTATGACCAGCTTATTGAAGGCACATAGGTTTGCAAATCTCTCACCATTTTCGTTTCTTTCTCCCAGTCCGTGTCGTCCCATGATGTCTTCATATCCAGTGTTGTCCGTTCCAACCTTGGCGTTGAAATCTCCCATCAGAATGGTCAGGTCCTTTGTTGGGCACTTCTCGACTATTGACTGCAGCCTATTGTAGAATTGATCTTTAGCGTCTTCATTGTAGTCGTTGGTAGGCGCAAAGCATTGGATGATGTTCATTGAAATGCCCTCTTTCTTTGTTTTGAACGAGGCTTTGATGATCCTTGGTCCATGAGATTCCCATCCTATAAGTGCATTTTGCGCTTGTTTGGACAGCATCAATGCAACTCCTTGTGTATGTGGTGCATTTTCTTCTTCATGACCGGAGTATAACAGGAGCTCTCCTGTAGTTAGTCGTTGTTGTCCAACTTGTGTCCAATGTGTTTCACTGATCCCAAGTACCTCTAGGTTGTATCTTCTCATTTCTGCAGCAATCTGGAATTCTCTTCCGGTGTCCCACATTGTACGAACATTCCATGTACCTAAATAAATGGTCGCTCTGGTTGTCAGAAGGGGCATCGGCCTCGTAACTTCCGAAGGGATTCGGCTTTCATCATGAGGCGTCATAATTCTTCTAAATGAAGATCTTCTGACTCCCAGGGCAGAGTTTAAAAGGTTTGAATAATTTTTTCTGGTTAGCGTTTTTTTAGCGAGTTAGTTTTCTACGGGATGGGGACGCTAACCCCATGCCCAACCCTCCTCCTTTATCCGGGCTTGGGACCGGCAGTAGCCCCCGGAGGGACTCCAGGCGGAGTTTTCACTCATAATTAAGAAAAACTTAATAGCTTTTATTACTCTAGTCAAACCGAATTCTATTGCGATGTTAAAATTCATTTGAACATTCTATTCTGGGTAATATTAATGAAGTAATCAATTTTTATCATAATCTTTTGAATACTCTAGGCTTAAATGAGCTTACCATTTTCTAGGAATAAATAGTATAACGAAATGTTGATGAAAAAGTGGTGACTGAATTCAACGCTTTTAGGTGTCCTTGAAAATAACTCAAAAAAGTGTTATAACTTGTGGCCTGTGTGCCCTGTTAATGTATAACGTAACGATACCGCCAATTAGAGAGCAGTGAATTATCGACCGAACCAATGCACATAAAAAACGTACGAACAGTCTAGGGAACTTAGTGGTCTTGCTTCCTGCCTAGCCCAGCCAGTTAAGTCCAGAACACCAATCTCAGCCTCTGCGATATGAATCATTTATTTCAAACATACGAGGTTTACATACCAATCAAACAGATCATATCGTACCATAAAATAGGAAACAACATTTGTACAAATGTGGCTGTGAATGTGGGAGATAGTAATTGATAGACTGGGTATAACTCAAGAATAGTAAATCGTAAAATAATATCATAAGTCAAAATGAACCTCATAATAAGAAGGACATTAATATGAATAGTTTAGTTATCTAACAATTATACGATAAAAATATACGCATAGTATTGATCCATTAATGGATCTCAAAAGTTACCACTCATTATTCTTATCGGGACGTAACAAAATGTTTGCAAGATATTCTGTGACTTAGAGGATGAAAACTAATATGTTATATTGTGTAATGTCTGTTTCATAAATTCACTGAATAATGTATATAAGCATAATCTAAAAGGTTCCTTTTGTGAATTTTAGGTAAATAAAAGTTTTATTATTCATTAAATATATTTGCAGTATATTATTCAGTGTTATAGTAAAAAAGGTAGTATTGTTTACACAGACTAGTGAATAAAATTTAGGTAAAATAATGATATGAAAGAAGCTTTACCCTTTAAAGCCTTATTGCTACTCAAACAGACTATTTACCTCCGATAGTTCTCAAGGATAAAGGAGGGTAACTAACTGATATCTTTCACGAAGATATGAGGAACTTACTGTTTTATCATTATTCTAGTATGCATAAAATTGTCATACTTAGAGAGGACCTGAGTGATTTATGTAATAGTTAAGTCACACCTTATGTGGTCGCTTTAGCCATATTTCACAGATTGAGCAAAACTCACGAAGTGTTGAGTTGCAATGAGGTGTTCGGTTTTGATCCAGGTCCTTATCCTCCACAAAATGCTTAGAAGTTGTCTCACGTATCTCAAACAAAAATTGTTATGATCTTTCAGAAAATTATTTCTTTGGTTCGTTGGCAGAACTTCCCTCTGGGATTGTATGTTAAACAAAGATAGTTTGAAAATAGTCAATATGCTTGTAATATGAAAATCGGTTTTATTGGTTGTATGTTTGTTGGTTCACCATAACTCTCTAGATGGGCGCTCAGGGATTATAAATCCCAGTGGCTTGTCAGATGACACTAACGGAAGAAGCTATTGGCCATCATGCCAAAGTTTTCTTTCCATGTTCTTCATGAATAATAGGATTCATGTTCTAACAGTAAAAAAGGTTAGTTTTCTTTTTATACAAACTTCATGACAGAATATATGCTATTCGAGCCTATTATTCATTTATTTAGTGGTTAGATTACCTGTCCGATTCTTATTCTGTATAATTTTGTGTACCTTATATGCTTCCATACTATCATACAAATAAAAATAACAATAAGACATACAACATTGAACTTAGTACAAAATATAATTTCAATAAACCAGAGATTAGAGTAAGTCAATAGATTTCCTAGGCCTACTAAACTGCTTATGATAGATCTTTTAGTATCACAAATTTTGTCATTATTACATTCCTTCAACCGAAATTATTTTACATAATTAAAATCTAGTATGCTTAAACTGTGAAAAAAAACTTTTTTTTCTTTACTTTTAACTAATTATCAGAAGGGGCTTGTGGAGATTTTTAGAAATTTTCACAGATTGAAATCATGAGTCAGTTGAAGCAAGACCACCATTGAAAACCTGGAAGCACTGGACGACCGTTTCATCCTAGTATGGGACCCCTCAGCAGTGCGCCGTCCAGTGCTTCCAGGTTTTCAATGGTGGTCTAGCTTCAACTGACTCATGATTTTAACTAATTGACAAAAATAATCCCAAATAAAGTAAGTTTAATTCAAGATTTGACATAGAAATATAGGAATTCACCTTGTTCACTTCAGTTAGTCTTATAACACACAGCAGGTATTTATTTAATGATAATCTACGCAAAACATTCCATTTTTAGAACATACAAATTTATGAAATAATATTGATTGAAGTCTATTACAGAAATGAAGCAAACTCCTTTTTTTAAAATGGTTATTCACTGATTATAAATGTTCTTATTTGGTTAAATATAATCTTTCATAGCTCTAATCCAGAATACAACAAACAATTTCTGTTACGTTCATAACTTGTTCACTTCTTGATGAATGGATCCGTTTATCAGGAAGAATTTGATGATTAAGAGGTTACTTAACTACTTACTTAATGTATAAACGGAGTTGAAATGCTTAAATACTTTAACTGTTATCATAACGAACTTCAACGTGACTAAAAGACTAAAGTCCGTATCACCAACGATATTACAGCTATATTCTTGAATGTTTAGAACGTAGTTTGAATCGGAGATTTAGCCCCTTTTTGAAACTGTTTATCACTCTTATGGAGTCCATTAGTTAAAAAAAGGCTTAACCAGAAATCCAGTGAAATTCATCCCAAAAGTATTCATTACACTGAAAAAGTAAATGTTGAAAAACAAATATTATAATATTTAAAAATATTATTGTTGTGAAACACTTAAGACAATAGGTTTATCCTATCGGATCTGTCCATAATAGTGTACAATCTGGATAAGTTTTCAAACTATTTGATATGTCAGAAACTGTTGATCTACCATTCACTATAGATTGTGAAACAAGGGTTGTGAGATTAAAGCTTATAGTCAGATTCATTGGGGTTTACAATCGATTTAAATCAAGAAGAAATTTAACTAATTATTAATCAACAAAGAAAATTTTTTTCTAAGGATATCGCTAAACGTTCAATGGTACACAAAAAAACAGAACTTCTAAGCTATAACTATTAAAATAACTTCTTTCTAGTAAATTATAATACTGGTAAGATAAGGATAGATTGAAAAAATAAAAACATCTGTCAGAATTGTTTAAAAATAAATCTACCGTCCGTCAGTATTTACAGAGATTGTTTACAGGCTAAAGGCAACTTTATGTGAAAGGATTTATACTACTATCTATATTAGCAAGTAGTTGAAAATTATGTGGTGAAGTTTCTTGAAATTTGATATTTTCTGTCACAAGTTTAGACCATAAAACAGGATCAGACTGTAGAGTGTCAACTGTATCTAATAATTCGACAGTATAATGATCATTTGATAATATTTGACCAGTAGGTTTGTAGAACAAATCCAATTTTGGTGCATCATATTTCGCACCACTTTTTATATCATAATCACTTAGCATTAATTCTGATAGTAGCTCACTTGCAGGCTCGGCATTCACACTTAAAAATATTGAAATCTTCGGTAACCATAATAACGTTTTATGACTGAAAGAATAAAGTAAACAGAAAATAGTATCTCTTCAAAAACTCTTTAAATATGATCAATATAGCAATCAAAAGAAAACAGATACATCATAGAATTTAAAGTAAAAGTAAGCACTGATTGTTGTAAGCTTACCTAAAACTCTTTAATTACTAATATCGTCTCACAAATAAGCAAAGGTCCACAGTGACCGATAATTAGGAACTGCTTTATTACTTGGGAAGAGCCATTCATCTGGGAATCAGTCTCTGCTTACCGACCGAATGTTGCTAGCTATATGTTATTGCTAATGTGATCACAAGATTAACCAAATTTTGTTAACAATGTTAAACTCTTCGATAATTTGATGCGATTGCAGAATAACAAGTAAGAATTTTCGTCTAAATTTGGACGAATAGTTTCACAGTATTTGGGCGCCTAGTTAATGTGAGACATTACAGAGGAAGAATGTATTTGTAAAATCTCAGCGAAAGAATTTGAAGTAAATCCAACGTTTCGCTTGGTAATCTGGTCCAAGCTTTTTCAAGGAAGATATCTTCCTTCAAATTCTTTCGCTGAGATTTTACAAATACATTATTCCTCTTTGATGTTAAACTCTTTATAGAAACGATAACCACAAGTACCTTTCCCATCATAAGATTTTGTTCATGACTTTTGCCGTCTCCTAACCGGTTGCCGCTGATTTTAGTTTGTCAAATTTCTGCATATTTGAAGGTTATGTTATTGTTACTATATATATATATATATATATATATATGGAGTTGTATGTTGTTTTGTGTGCTAGTTGCTATTATCGATTTGTACAATAAAACCAGTCATATTAAAGTGACTCGATCATTCCTAATCCTGAAGGTATTGGAGACCCGTACCTGACCTCAAACATCGAGATTTAACGGTTATAAGGATAAAAAACCAAGCTCCCAATTTAATCCAAACTTGTTGTCTAACAAACAGTAAGTGATATATCGAAAGCCTACTATTTCCATGAGGTAAACTAAAACGTTCGCAAAATCTGTTTCAGTACGTTAGAAAGCACTGGAAAAATTCCAAATGATATATTTTAATCAAAACATTTTTTATGAACCGCTTTAGTTCAACATAATGACTACTCAGTGTAATATTTTGTCTTGTATAACAGTGACTTACCTCAGTGAGATAGTTATGAAAGATACAATATTAACTGAATTGCATTAACGTGAACTATGTTCAGTATGATATACAGTATACGATTTCGTCATAATTTTGGGTGTTTTTCATGTATGTGACTTTTTTCTAATCAATGATCAAATGGATGTACAGATTAATATATAAATGAGTATAATTCCGACTGCGATCGCCGTGTCTTCAGAGCTAATAAATTTCTACTTGTACCAATATTTTGTGTTCTTACTTCGCGTCATGGGGATTATAGTGGTTCCTTGTTTTGCACGTATAAATAAGGGATGTGGTCATTACTAATACAGTGCCACTAACCTACTTAGAGTCCAATTATTCTATCTAACTATCTCAGTCAATTTGTAATATACTAACATTTCCCATAAAATCTCCACAACTTCAAATATTTAAGTATTCATTTTTAAAAAAAGAATCAAAAGTATGGGTAAACATAGATATATCTTTACTAAGGTCTAACTAGCTAGCGATTAATTTTTTGGAAACTCACCGAATAATGTTAACCAAACCTTCAGTGTATGTATTCAATGGAACCAACTGCTCAAAATGCAATGGACTTTCATGGATATTTATACAATTTAAACAATTAAACTTGCAAATAACCGACCTAAAAATTGTAATTTCAATAAATACAGATATGAGTTAAATCTTACAGAAAAAATATAAATTATCTTATATCAGGAAATACTTTGGTCAATGGTTTTGCTTTGCTGCATATAGTGGTTATTTCACCGAACTTAACTTCATATTTATTAGTGTTCTAACACTAGTTGGCAAGTAGATAGGTAATGATGAATAAATTTAGCTTCATTTGTTTGTAACGTCTAATATAACTTCGTGCCAAATAACAGATGATCAAAACAAAATCAGATTAATGGATAGTAGAATATACCAGTAAAAATATTCGCTGCAATTTAATGTAGTCGAAAAACGAAAAATACTTTAACACATCTCACAATAAACCCAACGAAAGACAGGCTAAATATACATATCTCCAAGCTTATCGGCTAGTAATATCACCGCTGGGAAACCCAAAATGACTCACATAACAGTATATATACATATCTCCGTTTTTTGAACCACTTTGTGTAATCCAACATAATATGTAAGTATCAACTCATTACTGCTAACAGTCAATGGTAGGCAATAACCTACTCATATAAGGTGGTCCGCCGTATATAACCTAACCCATGGTAGTACTTAAAAGTACTACGATCCTTAATGTATTAATTTAAAAACAGTTCAATGAAGCCTTATGATTAAGAAACTTGGTACAATCATGGCTTGAAAGCATGCCGTAACTGACCCGGTGGCAAAAGTATAGTACAGGGATGAGGCAATTAGGATTGAGAACGTGAACCTACGATCTTAGCGCGAAATTCAAACATCACATATAACGAGCAGTAGAAATATATTTTCCCAGTGCTTATGAAGTTTAAAATGGTGAAAAAATCGTTTCTTTCTACCGTGAGGGAAAAAATGGATAATACTAAACGTATCGGATGCCCATTTTTTCCTCTGTAACTTGTATATAGGGGGCAAATAGGTACTATCCATAAATCCCAACTCAAAAGTCTTAATCTTGAAACAAACCTTAATTTGTTGGCATTATAGTTCACGAGCGAGCTAATCAGACAGTGCCTCTTGAATTTTTTGATGAAATCCATCCATCAATATGGCTACAGTGGATTTTTACAATATAGCTGATATTAAATAGTTAAGTAAACCACAACCATAGTCCTCTTGTCTTAACACTAAATCTCCAAACCTAATAAGAAACAATGTAGGGCTTTCAAGAAATCTATTTGTTTTTTGGCTCGAAAAGACTGATAATTTATATCCATTTGGATGGATTTATAAGTTGTTGTTCTTTTATTCATAGACAGTAACCTTATAGTGAACGAGATCACAAGTGGGGACAATCGAATGTATGAGAATACAAAATGACAGAACATAGTGAAATCTGAGAACCAAACAGTAAATACTGAACTGGCAAAATGTCAATCAATTATCTCAAACTTGACTGTTCCTTTTGCAAATACCAGAGTCAATCGTTTCAGACTTCATTGTTCTTTCGTTTCCACAACAATCATTCTTTGTTTTCGTTCTCTTTTCTTTGAACTTCTTAACCTTCTTCCTCTAATCATTTCACTTTTGATTAATGATACATACTACTTATATCTGTCGACATCAGTAGCTCACACTACAACCTGTGAAGGACTTTGATTAATTCACTAATTATGTAAAATATGTTTACATATTGTACGATGATTATTTTCTCTTCCAAAATCTATTCATTTACAAGAGTTGTTTTGCTGATTGGTTAAAAACTGGTCGAAAAATTTTCGCAGTTAATTTAAGCTCATCCCTATACTATACTCTTTGCAATTTACAATTCAAATTTCATGTAAGATTATTGCCTTTAAAAACTGTCATTTCAAAGGTACTAGATAGTCATTAAAAAAAGCTACTGACAACCATAAGCAAATAATAATTGTATATTTACATATTATTTCTTTTGTTAAGATTAAGTTATATTTATCACGAAAGTTAACAAACCCTCTATCTGATTTCGCTATTCTTTCAATACTTAATTCTTTTAGAGTTCCATCTTCAAGACTTTTAAATAAGAGAAAAACAGGAAAATATATAGAAAGGTTAAATTTTCCTGAATAAAATTTACATTTCTAAAGAATAACATAATTACTTCGTTTTAACACTGTAACAATACTTCAGTGGGTTAAAAGTTCACTGTATCACCCCATAATGTTATTTATTATTTTTTCTTATTTGAACACATAAATGTTGGTACAAAGGAGCACCGAATACATGTGCTCCACAAAAGTCATTTGGTTTGTGTGTGGGCTGGGTTACTGCCCTGGTGCACCGACTGAATTAGGTGGTTTACTTAAGGGGCCACTTCCCGGGCTTTTGTCTAATCCACAAGGTGGTGGAGCAACTTTAAGAGATGCAATCCCATGGTATTTGGTGACCAACAATAGGTTCATACGCCATTTTGTTTTCTTTAGGACCCGTGAGTGGGTCCTCCATATCCACCAACTCGGTTAAAGCACCGGAAATTCGCTTTTCGTCCTCTCAATTTCGTAAACAACGACCCCGGCGCGAGAAGGCAATGAGTAGGACTTCCCTGACAGTGGCTGTATACGCGTGACCGTGTGAGAGAATTTCAAGATGGAGAGCTAACTCTCGCCACCCTCGACCGTATCAGGGCATAATTTTAACTAAAATATATCAACAAATGAGCAATTTCAGACGAATTCAAAGCTAACCAATAGTAAAATAAATATAATTGGATTTAGAATTGAAATTATAGTTGACAAATAGTTAATGAGTAATTTTGATTAGTTGTGGAGCATTAAAAGAATCAGAATCAAAGCTATACAATCATGGAACATGAAATTAAAAATTTCATACAGCGTTATTTATTCATAATTAGATCTGTAAATATGAAATTAAAATTACGCTTAGGTCGAATGAATCTAGTTGACAGATTTTTAGAATTCTTAGGTGACTACAAAATGTTATTAACTAATAAAACTGATTCAAGAACTTTGAGAGTTTTTTTTAGAAAAGCCAACATGTTATTCAATGAATGTGTTGGACAGAAATTGTGAATTTATTTAAATAACCTTTTTATACGTTTCTGCTTGGTTTAAAACTGTGCTTATCAATAGTTAGTATCACTAAAACTTATTCAAACAACTGGTGAAGTTATACTCAGTTTAGAAGCCGAAATCGCTGAGCTGAAAGAATATGGACATTCTACTAAGTATTTCGGCTTCACCTTAACACAATGATAGTGTAATGTTAAAATAATTTTGACGTAATTATTGAAAACGATACAGTTTGAGTTAGCATGAAGGTACCAAGGTCATTTAAGAATACTCTTGGTAAAATGTCAATGTAAAACTTAATTCACTAAGAAAATTTTAGTCACCAGCTATTGAGTATAATTTTATTTTAATACTGGCGTTCTCACTCATAAGTGAACCTTACATTCATGGGTTTAATTGGCAGAATTTCATTTTCTAGGCTACAAAATCACAACTTGGTTATCATCCTATTTAACGAGTATCAATGTAAATATTCTTAGTTGATTAATTTGAAAACAGAACGAAAGGCAATTTGCCATTATATATAAGGACCATTAATAAATTTGAAGAAATTTTCATTTTCCATGAAAATAATAATTATTTAAACAGGATATAATAAACAACTCAGTTGTTAGTGAAGTACTTTTTTTAACCATAGAAACCAATCTATACACAATGGATATAAATAACTATCGTGATACTTTTGTTATGTAAATTGAAGCAGAGAAAATAGAATAATTAAAGAATGAATCAATTTTATATTGTATGACACTGACATGAAATAAAGGTACATCAATACAACACCGTTTTGATATTTACTCTGTATTGGTTGAATATTTCTTAGCAACTTTTAACGTGTTCTTATAGCTGTGTATGTTAAAACTTATTTTTCATTGGAATAAGTGTGATAAGTATGTTAAGTGATGATGGATGGATCAATCATATGTTGATTTAAATGGACAAATACACAACCAATATTTAATGCGTACGGGTCAGTGACACTACATAACTGAACAAATAATAGTAGACATAGTAAGGTTTTAATTCCTGATCAATTTGTAGAAATTCACAGAAATCCATATACATAAAAATACTGAGATCAGACTTAAAAACGAGTTAAAAAATCTGCAAACTAATAGGTTTTCAGATGATAGCTCTTTGTTTACATTTATGAAGTTTGAAAAATAATTATTGGTAAAATTACATAGAACTGTGATTTTTGAAGCCTACAAATGGTTTTTTAAAGGCTCAATTTAAATTGGAAACTTAATTAACAAGGCTGCTTACTCTCCCCCTTTCTCTTGTGATGGTTGACTGGATTATGAAGACCTCCACATCACAAGGAAAGCACGGAATACAATAGACAATTGTTTGTTTGAACACATAAATACTGGTACAAGGAGGCACCAGATACATATGAGCCACACAAATCTCATTTGATGTGTGAGGGCTGTGATACTGCCCGGGTGTCCAAACCGAAGTAGGTGGTTCTCTTAGGGGGCCACACCCGGAGCCTTCGACCTGAAAGTCTGACCCACAAGGCAGTGGAGCATCGTAGGGAGATGCAGTCCTATGGTGGCCGGTGACTAACGATTGGTTTATACGCCATTTATTCCCTCAGGGTACTGGAGTCCATGTGACCCATTGGTTTGAAATCAGGGTTTCTCAACCCCCTTAGGTGGACTCTCCGTGTCAACCAACCCGGTTAAAGCGCCGGACATTCGCTTTTCGTCCTCTAAATTTCGTAAACAACACCCCTGCCACGAGAAGGCAGTGAGTAGGGCTCGCCTGGCAGAGGCTATATACTCGTCGCCATGTGAGAGCATTTCGAGGGGGAGAGCGGACTCTTCTCACTCTCGGCATTACCGGTGCCTTTGGGGGCAGACAGCTTGAATGAAGCTAGACGAGTTAGACTTCACAAATAACCTGGTTCTTTCATTCTATACACATCAACAAATGAAGGTGAAGACAGACAGTGTAGCAACAGCCTCTGCATCAGTAGGCCACAACATACACAAGGGAAAAACCAAGATCCTCAAATATAACACAGATGACATTAATCCAATCACACTTGATGTACAAACTCTAGAAAAAGTGAAAACTTCCACGTACCTGGACAGCAACATCAATGAACAAGGATAATCTGATGCAGGCATAAAGGCAAGGATTGGCAAAGCAAGGGAATCATCCCTACAATTGATGAACATATGGAACTCAAAACAACTATCAAACAATATCAAAGTCAAAACATTTGATACGAAATTCAAGATAGTTTTACTGTATGGAGCTAAAACGTGGAGAACTACTACAACCATCATCAAGAGAGTACAAGTATTTATAAACACTTATCTACACAAGATACTCATTGTCCGCTGTTGACCTGATACCACCAGTAACAGCCTACTGTGGGAGAGAACAAGCCAGTTTCCAGCTGAGGAGGAAATTAGAAAAAGACGTCGCAGGTGGATAGAACATACATTACGGAAATCACCAAACTGAATCACGCAGAAAGCCGTAACTTGGAATTCTCAAGGTAAAAGGAAATGTAGAAGACCAAGGAACACATTGCGTCAGGAATTGGAAGCAGAAATGAGAAGAATGAATAGTAACTGGAAAGATCTGCCTAGGACAAAGTTCGATAGAAAATGCTGATAAATGGCCTATGCTCCTCTACGAGGAGTATCAGGTGCAGGTAATTATGTAAGAACTGGAACATTGATTTTTTTTCTATACACTATGTTAACTTGAATACAGATTAAAATGTACCATTATAGTACATAAATTGTCGCAGATTCCAAAGTATTATAGACGATTTACGTAAACGAAAAGAAAAAAACATAAAAGTTTTCCAAATAAAGTATGTTAAAATTTTCAAGAAGTCAACCTACCTTAATTTTGTTAAGCTGCATGTTAAATCCTGATAGTCAATAAAACCATTCTTATTTTTATCAAGCAATCTTGTAATTACATCGATTTCAAACTTTGTAAATGGACACTTCAATGATAACAGAGCTGTTTAACATAATACGATTTAAAATATAATAAAACACGAACAAACCAGCTTTAAAATCATCATATGTAAAGTTTAAATCTGAGTAGTGGGCTGTTAAATGAAGAAGATTTTTTAATTGCTCCGCATGACAATTTATCCACAAATTTGAACGCTTTAAAAAATCAATGTACTTTTCCTCATCTGCACAAAATTTGTCTATTTTAGCTTCTAACACTGTCTTTCAATGCTATTTAATACATGAAGTACTAACAAACCTTTTTCCTAGAAGTCTTCAATCTTTTGCCACGCTTTTTCCCCGACTTAACATTTTTCTTCCTAGGCATTTGTCTTATCTGAAAATTGTAATCTGAAAACTTTTAGGTGATTCTCATAGATCAAAATTAATGGAAATTATTGATCATAAAAGCAGAAGTAGATTGTCTAAAATGATGGAGAAAAAATAGGAAATTTTATAAATCATTTTATAAATCGTTGAAGCCTACTTAGGATAACTTAGAAGGATGACCAGATAGTACTTCAATGATTTTTTGGCATTAAAATTATAATAATAACTTAAAGGCTAATCAGTTGAAATGAATGATCAATGTTTTTAGCTTCTTTCTCAAAATGGTCTATGGATTTAATTCTAATTGTATAATGCTAAAGCAATACATTCGGTCGAGAGAAGAAATAAGGAAAAAGTTTCTATATAAGATACTGTAGGAATTAAAATTGTCACTTCTCATCAAGATGAAGGAACGGGAAGAATGGTACACTCGAAGCATATATAGATTGTCGATGAATTTGACAGTAAACGTTTCACAGTTAAATCGGTTAATCAACCAATACCGACCTAAGGTAATTGAAACTAATATAAGTTCATATATGAAGGTCATTTAATACCAAGAGATTTTTATACGAGTAGCCTGGGGATATTCACTAAAAAATTGAATTTTCATTATTTACAACATCGATAAAAAATATCCTGTAGAGTAAACTAGTATAATTTTCAGGCCATCAACCATCATCTAAGTACAACTGACATCGTCTAGTAAACAATTTAACCATACTTTGCAATATAATATGGTAAATCTTACAAATGAATAGTTTTGCGATATAATGTCTAGAGATGATATGATCGTAATTAATATTATGTACCGAAAGCAATAAATTTGGCAAAAAGTATATTTTGAACATTGTAGTTTTTATAAAAAAACTCGTGAGCTAAACTCGTTAATTTCAAGTCAATGAAAATTTGACAGTCTGAGACACTCAAAACGTTGTAAAATAAATATGCTTGTGCTCAGTTGCGTTAAAACATTTTCACTGAACAGTAAATTGTGCCAAAATTTGTTTTCAGCATATTATACACAACATTTGAGAGCTGACAAATTGTATGATGGTATTCAAATTAGAACAGATACTTAATAGATGAAGTTTTTGAAATACATGAAATTATTAAACCCTTTATGATCTGTAATACCAAAAAGTGGGTATACATTGTCAATAAAGTTGATAATCAGAGTTATATTTTTCACTTGCCATAAAGACATGAATTCATAATATTAGGAATTTTCAAGAACTAAAATGAAGATAATTCTTGAGTGCTGGGGTATGAAAGTGTTCAGAACATTGGTATGTTTAACTGACCGATATACGAGTAGATGGGAAAAGAACTAGAGATGGTTAGGTAAAGATATTATTTTAGTCCCTGAAATTCTTGTTTTTTGACCTGAAGCTACGACAGACTGAAAATACTACAAAATTTGTTTCAATGAAGGTGAGTTGTTTAATTTATTCTCTAACAAATGTGGGGTTTTATTATTATCTCTTACCATCAATTTCCTGAGTTTATTTGTTCCCTTAAAACTATATCTTCTGTTTTTTTAAATTCTCAATGCCACTATTAGTATAAGCTTAACTCTTATCTCGTTGAATTTGTCCCACTGTGGTCACTAAAAGTGTGTGTGCCTCGCCGGCATAGATATAGCACCCAGTTTGAACAAGTGCTTCCTGAACAAAACCCCGTCAACAATTGTCCATCTGCAATCAGAATAAATGGTCAAGTAAGATCTTGGAAAGATAAGTACATGCGCCCCTACTGTTTGCAGACCAGATGAAGTAGATGAGTTTTATCGAGGGCTTTCTGACTTCCATCAGAACGCTCAGATGCAGTAATCGTTGGTAGTAATTTTAATGCATTAGTAAGTAGACTAAGTTGGTCTTAATGAAACTTAGACAAGTCTTTCAATGCTCCAGTTCATGGAACTGCATGTCTAAAAATATGCTCAGACAACACTTTATTCCTAGGAAATTATGTCGTTAAGCATAAGAAAATATATTAATTAACTTAGTGACTAACAATATGATTACAAATATGGAAACGGACAGGCCATATGGCTATTATTTGTCATTGAAGAAGTAAAATTGGAGATTGCTGACTCTCTTGGAGCACGTATATAGACTATAATCAAGCTTTGCCGAAAGCAAGTACCTCACTGATTTTCACGGGAGGCAGAAGCGTCACAAAAAATTTCTCGGAGCTCAACTAAATGATGAAATGTCAAAGAGTATGTTCCAGAAACAACTAGAGGACCACGTAGTCAGTTACTAAGGAGACGTTCAGTCTGATGTAGCCTAGTATAATACACGAACTTATATGAGATCGATGGTGTCAACTTTCGGCGGATTAAATGACAAAGTTTGGAAAATTAGTGAACTTCAATGACATTAAGTGAATTAATATGTGTTTGTACACCTGCCCGATCACGTTTACAGCAAAATAAAGGCTAAAGACAGCTTGAAAAGCTCCTGACGAAATCTTGTACATTAGTCGCAAGTAATAAAAATAGATCTTTACCTTACAGTTTCACAGAGATGACATGGTTTTATGCTGTTTCGAGGAAAAATCTAGCAGATTTACTTACTGATTTAGAACATGCAGACAAAACGGTTCTGTTTTTAAAGACCCTGAAATTATACGGAGTATTATGAACACCTTGTGCAACAGTGGATTCATGGGTGGGATGTGTTTCTCTGAGTTCACTCTACTGTTCTCTACCCTATAGCCGTGAAACATAACCTTCTAAAGTAAATGTTATATCATTGATACTACTATTGTTTTGACCACTTTACTATGCTTCTTGATAAATTAATTTAGTTGACCAGATTTGGAATGAGAACTTGGGCTAATGAACGTTTGTGTCATGCGCTACATTGATAATGACTTCTCAAAATGGGATATCGAAATTGGCAGGAAAAGCTGTGAATCTGTGTTCCTAGACAACAAGATAATTAATGCCTCAAAATTTCCTTTACATATAGAATAAAAATTACTTATAATATATGGCCTAAAAACTATAAAGTTTCAAACATGCCGTTTTCTGTCAAACGAACTTCAAAGACTACCCAGCTCTTGTTCCACAGCGTGTTGTCTGCCAAGTATACTAGACATGAGTTCATGTTAAGCAGTCTTTTGTGTACACTGACTTCATGTATAATATAAAAATTCAAATAACAATAATTCAATTAAAAGACATAGAAATTCGTGATAAACACTTAATAATCGTCGCTTAGATCAAGTGTCATTTTTAAAATGACATGAAAAGACAGATGCTAATAACCATATCTGTTGATGAATTTTAACAAAATCGAAACTGTTTGTTCGTACGGAAAAGTTAGATTAACCATTTAAGTTTCCGTATAAGCGGAAACGTGTGACTTAACACGTTCAGTTCAGTGGACATCTGTGGTATTTGTGAGAACAAATGATTGCCCGCTGATTACGAATTCCAAACATAATACGTTCATTTATACTCATCCTGTTCTATCCGCTTTAAACTGCACTACTTAGGGAATTCCTAGTTAATGCATTATTTGGAATACTTCTAATTATCATACTGGCGTTGCGAAGTAGTCAAGTCTTTCACAGTGAGATATTAATCCTATCGGGGACGACTTCGAACACTACATAGAGTGCATGACTAGAAAAGATAATAAAAATGATAAATTGGCGACCAATTTGAAAGTTAACTTTGTGGTTGGTTGATTGCTTGGATAAATATTCTGGATTTTCGAAGAATTTTCACTCACAAACCTAAAAGTTTGTCCCAAAAAACTAATAAAGCATGTTTTAACTATGAGGCACTGAATGAGATTGATTTTCAGTCGGTGAAAATGTCTAATACTTCGCTGAGTCGTTATGATAAACTACATTCTCATTGTCGCTTGTACTCGTGATTGTTTAAAAATGGTTCCCACTCTCTTGGAAATATGAAAAATGACTGAACGAAGAATTCCAAAGCAGGTTACAGAGACGAGCACAAGTCGGTTAAACCCTAATCCTGTGGTAGATTTCACCTGCATAATTTATATGTCCTTAGTCGTCCCAAATGCTTAAAGTGTAGTAGAATGGGACACATCCAGTCAGTTTATAAGACTGCTGTTCCTTTTTCCTCAAATCGTACTAAACTTTGTAATTCGGATCCTATTGATTTTTGTGATATTGTAGCGGTAAATAAATCCCCAAACTAAATAGCTCTGTAAGTTTTCGACATTGGATGCTGGCCATATGTTTTAGTGGACTCATCTAGCTGAAGGCGCTCGGTCATGCATCCGCACCAGATCACGTGTGGTAACGCCGTGCTCAACATCAACCGCAATCGCTAGCCAGATTAGATCAGAGAATTCCGATATATTGGTCATCGCCAAATATACTCTTCCGATCTCCTCGACTCTGTCTTTTGATTTCTCTGGGTGGGAACGAAATACATTAGGAGGTGTTACTGGTAGAAGCGTTGTCAAACACTGAATACCTGTGACATCATCAATATTAATAGTCATATGCTACTCTTTTTTACACCTTCCAGTATGTCACTTCATGTTCAGTGGCGCTTTTTCACGATTTTACTACTGACACTGCTAGTATTAAATCTGTAGTGCCAGTGTAATGTCACCTAGCCCTAGTCAAATAATTCGACGGTTTGGTCACTGAATCTCGAACAGTTCATCGATCTCCTTCAAGATCAAGGACAACTATCGCTCGTCAGTTATTCGCACGACATGGAATGGCGTATGAGGTGGTGATCTCACTTTCTCTTGTATCAACTATAACAAATATAATTATGTAATTATGGTGTTTGTACTGTACGGTCATTAAAGCATCCATGTTACCTTATCACGATGATGGGGTAATCAACGTCAGGTGCTGATTGCGAGGTGTGATTTCGACGTTAGCTGTTATTCACACTATTCTCGTCTAACTCCAGTAGGCCACCAATCATTCGGCACAGATAATCTACGTTGGTGATCTACAAATCTATCATTTCAGTTGCAAAGTCGAAGT